CAATTTTAAATGTGATTGAAAAAATATATATCATACGTGAAAAATGTTGAAAGAATCTGTTACACATTAGTCATGGGTGAAATAAATGTATTTTTACAGGATGGTACTGAGGGGAAAAGAGAGCCATGAAGTTCGCTCTCCCAAGAATTTGGCAGGAACCCACTGACCACTCAAGCGACTGCTACTTCTGCATGGTGGACCCTTCCAAACGTAGGACTGGCAAGAATGCACCTGCTATTACGTATCCGGACCTTCCTTCATCCATCGCCCCGGTGCCACACTGCCATGAGCTTCCTGTTCCCACTCCTCCGGAGAGAGAGCAGCCGTCTTTAGAAGAGAGCAGCAAGTCAGAGAGTGAGGAAGACGATGAAGATCCAGATGACAACTTCAGAGGTGGAGCTGAGGAGAGCAACCCATACTACCCCAACCAAAAAGACCTCAACGACTTGATCATCTTGGATGAAAGTGTGCAAGTCGCAGATCAGAGGAAGCGTCACCAACCTTTTTGTCAAGATGGGCTCTGCTTCTGCCACAATGTGACCAGTCTGTTCGAGGCAATCGGAATCGCCTGTAGCCAGAATGAGTGGCGCCTCTTCATTGACAGCTCATCCAGGAGCCTCAAAGCCGTGCTGCTCCATAATGGTAACACGTACCCGTCTCTTCCCCTGGCTCACTCGGTGCACCTCAAAGAGGATTACAACAGCATCAAGACCTTGCTGGACGCCTTGAAGTATGATGAGTACGGCTGGGAGGTCATCAGAGACTTCTAAATGGTGGCATTCCTGATGGGTCTCCAAGGCGGTTTTTACCAAGTTTCCTTGCTATCTTTTCCTTTGGAACAGCAGGAACACCAAGGCGTACTACCACAGGAGGGACTGGCCACAGCAAACCGAGTTCTCTGTGGGGAGGAACAACGTCAAGTGGGAGCCACTGGTGGACCCCCGGAAGGTGTTGATCAGAATCAGAATCAGAAAGGGTTTTATTCGCCATGAAAGTTCACACCGACACGGAATTTACTTTGGCAGGATGGTGCATACATTCAACATATAGGAATCTAAAATCTTAAATAAGTTTTAAACAAGTCTTTCTATAACAATAAGGGTTAAAAGTCTAACTAACACCAAGGGGCTGAAGTATATAAAATTGAATAAATATCGAATATAAAATAGCTTTAAGATATAATAAAAAAAATACAAATAGGTTAACATAGTTAATATCGGCAAGGTGTCATTATGTAGATAAAATGTTAAAATCAGTGTAAGCCCTTGGCCTTGTTTAACAGGCCAGCAGCAGATGGGAAGAAACTGTTTTTATGGCGTGAGGTTTTGGTCCTGATGGACCGAAGCCTTCTGCCGGAGGGGAGTAGCTGAAACAGAGAGTGTCCAGGGTGGGATGAATCGGCCATAATCTTCCTCGCTCGCCTCATGGTCCTTGTAGTGTGCAGGTCCTCGAGGGTTGGTAGATTGCAGGCAATTACCTTCTCAGCAGTGTGGATGATACGCTGCAGTCTGCTCTTGTCCTTGGCAGTGGCAGCAGCGTACCAGACGGTTATGGAGGAGGTGAGGATGGATTCAATGATCGCTGTATAGAATTGCACCATCATTGTCTTTGGCAGGTTGAATTTCTTCAGCTGCCGTAGAAAGTACATCCTCTGTTGAGCTCTCTTGGTGAGGGAGCTAATGTTCAGTTCCCACTTGAGGTCCTGGGAGAGAATAGTGCCCAGGAAGCGGAAGGACTCTACAATTTTGACTGGGGAGTCTAACAGGGTGATGGGGGTGAGTGGGGCTGTATTCTTCCTGATGTCCACAACCATCTCAACTGTCTTTAGAGCATTTAGCTCTAAGTTGTTCTGGCTACACCAGGTCACCAAGTTGTCAGCTTCCCACCTATAGTCAGACTCATCCCCACCAGAGATCAGCCCAATGAGGGTGGTGTCGTCCGCAAACTTCAAGAGTTTGACGGACAGATGATTGGAGGTGCAGCTGTTGGTATACAGGGAGAAGAGCAGTGGGGAAAGGACGCAGCCCTGAGGAGTTCCGGTGCTGATGGACCTGGAGTCAGAGATTTGTGTTCCCAGCTTAACGCACTGCTTCCTGTCAGACAGGAAGTCTGTGATCCATTTACAGGTGGTGTAGAGCACGTTCAGCTGGAAGAGCTTGTCCTGAAGCAGGGCAGGGATGATGGTGTTGAAGGCAGAGCTGAAGTCCACAAACAGGATCCTGGCGTAGGATGCTGGGGCATCCAGATGCTATAGGGTGAAGTGGAGGGCCATGTTAACTGCGTCGTCCACAGACCTGTTGGCTCTGTAGGCAAACTGAAGGGGGTCCAGGAGAGGGTCTGTGATGGCTTTGAGGTGTGCCAGGACCAGGCGCTCAAAAGACTTCATTACCACAGATGTAAGGGCGACCGGTCTGTAATCATTTAGTCCTGTTGGCCTTAGCTTTTTGGGCACAGGGATGATGGTGGAGGACTTGAGACAGGCTGGTACATGGCATGTCTCCACGGAGGTGTTAAAGATGTAGGTGAACACCGGAGACAGCTGGTCAGCGCAGTGCCTGAGGGTGGCTGGAGAGACAGAGTCCGGCCCGGCTGCTTTGCGTGGATTCTGCCTCTTGAAAAGTCTATTAACTTGAAACAATTTGTCAAAGCTGTAGTTAAGGAGTCGACAGCCTTCAAGTACCTTCAAGACGTCTTCACTAAGCTGTCTAAGGCAAAGGTCAAAACCGGTGTCTTCATCGGACCACAGATAAAGAAGATCATGTAGTGCAATGAACTCGCCAAGAAGCTCACTAGTAAGGAAAAAGCGGCTTGGGGCAGCTTTGTCGCAGTGGTTCGTGGCTTCCTGGTCAATCACAAGGTCGAAAACTATGTGGAGCTGGTTGAGACTCTGATGATCTACTACGGCACAATGGGCTGTAGGATGTCCCTCAAAGTCCATATCCTTGATGCTCATCTTGATAAATTCAAGGAGGACATGGGAGCGTACTCGGAGGAGCAAGGCGAGCGCCTCCACCACTACCAAGGACAGTATAACGAGAACATGATGAGAGACTACATCTGGGGGCTGATTCGTGAAAGTGATTTACAGTATAGTCGTAAATCTCGAAAAACTACTCACTTCTAAATCTTTTGTAGTCATTTTGTATTATTTTAGTATAAATACATGTTAATTTTGATTCATATGTTTTTTCTTACTTTATGTGAACGAACATACACAAATTTGCCCGTTTCTCATTGAAAATAGGTGCATTTATAATTATCACCGTCCTGGTCACAAAAGCAAAGTTTGTGGGGAATAATAGCCATTTTCTATACTTTCTAGGTATAAGAAATTACGAAATAACACTTACTACCCAGGAACAAAAATTGTGTTACATAGTGTTATCAGAGCATGTTTGTTTGCGTGTTTTACAACAAGCATGATGTGTGAGGTTAATGCAGACTTGATGATGCCTTGTGATGGTTGTTTGAACATCTTAACACCTTTTGTATTATCGCTAGCAAGAGTAAAGCATGTGATTTTTTTTTCATCATGGTAAGGTCGGCTTAATTATTTATGTTCTTGGGTTGGCCAGAAGTCATTACACGTTGAGGTGCTGAGATCCAGGTTTCTAAACTATACACTTTATTTATTTTATCAGGTAAGGCCCACTGAGCTATGTAGCTCTTTTTCAGAAGTGACCTGGCCACAAATTATATTTCAACGAATTGGCTTATCATGTGGAAATTTATAGCAGCCAATGATCTAAACACGTGTTTCTAAATTTGGAGGAAAAAACCTGACGACCCGAAGAAAAATCCACAACCATGGAGAGAGAGACACGCAAACTCCAAATATACAGCAGCAGGCATCAGGGTCAGGATCAAACCCACGACCTCCTGCATACCGGGCGAGGGGGTTAACATCTCAACTTCAGCCACTTGTTACAAAACTGGGCCCTTGGGTATGGCGAGTTGATGGTCTCAGTCCAACAATCGCACAACACACACACAATTAAAAAAAAACACCCATCACTTTCAATTTAGTTTTGCACTTAATGTATCTACATTCCAACTCCGAGAATAAAACACGTCTGTTTTGACTGCTGAGTGGGGGAAAAAACCCTCCCCAAAAACAATCTCATAGCAGAGTGTACAGCAAAGGGTAACCTCGAGGAGCTAAAAAGCCCACGGAGAAGGAACTTTTAGAAGTCCTGTGAAAAATATCTCGCGCGGGGTTCCACCGGCACTTGGGCGCGCTGAGATTCAACCACTGGCATGATAACGCGCGTGCAATTGTGGTAACCAGGGGCGGCCGGCAAAATATTTAAAATATTCTTGACATGCATGCGAGGCGATTAAACATCGTTCATAGGCCTGTTTAATGTTGTTTATTCTTTTTATTTGCTTATAACAAAAACATTGGAATTAAATGAGAGTAGAAGGATAATGGTGATTGTAGCAATGCTGCTTATCACCATGGCGTTGGTAATAAGTCAAGGTGCAGCCCTAAAATGTCCTGCTCAGTCCACTGCTGCCGGAAGGGCCTCCTCCACCATAAAGGAGCTCTCGACGGCCTTCTCCCCCCCCCCCCCCCCCCCAAGGTGGAATTTTGGGCCTCCTCTTCCAGGCTGGACAGGCGTCTTGTAAGAGGTAGAAGAACCCACACTTAACCCCACCACGAAAACACGTGCCCATTGATTCAACTGCAACTCCGGGAGATCAAACCATCGTGCCCGTCAATCGCAAGTGCAGCGTGCTAACTACTGCAATAGCAGCAGTCACGTGGTGTTGGATTATTGTTTCTTTCAAGCACTTTTTGTCCAAAGTCCTGAGCTTGGCTCACAACCTATGAATTGCGACCAATGATTATGCCCCACGAATCACGACCCACGAATTACGACCTACAAATCACGACCCACAAATTAAGACCCATGAATTATGACCCACAAATTACGACCTACGAATCACGACACACGGAATTACGACCATGGGCAATAGCCGCGATCGCGAGCAGATACCGATTATGGACGTGAAGAGCTCCGGCGCCGAGCTCCCGGCCGCCATGAAGGTGGCGCCAGCCACGTCCTCGTCCAAGTGCAGGCGCTGGCAGGCGGGAGGGGGTGGGATACAACAAGGTCATGGTGCCGCGCGGGGGGCGATGCATTATTAACGACTCCTTCAAGGTCGCCGCGGCACAACGCGGGAGGGCGGACGGCCGGGCTGCCATCCTTTCCTGCGCGCGCGTCATCGCGCGGGTGCACGGTGGTGGAGGAGATGGGGAGGGGGGGGCGAATGCCACGCGCTGACGGTGACACGCGGGTCGCGTGCGTGGATTAACGATCTACGCAGGAGGGTCAGGGGATGGGCCGGCAGATTAACTCAACTGTGCTAGCGTCAGAAGTCCGCGTCGTGGTTTGCCGTTGATCTTTAAAAACAAAAAGTAAAAAAAATCATTTTCGCGTTGTCGGTATTTTCAACAAAAGTGACCGGTGAAAATGCAGAACCGGGAGACGTTCAGGGTGAGGGTGATCTGCAGTAGAAGGACAGCTCAAAAAACTACGGGCCGAGTTGTTAAACTAGGCAGCACAGAGCAGCAGGGGGCAGAGAGAGAGAGAAAGAAAGAGACAGAAGGAGGAAAATTGTAGAGAGAGTTGGCTGGCAAGGAGGAAACGGCGCAAAATAATCGAGCTGGTTTCTCAAGTGTTTTGGTTCGTGCTAAATGTTTTGAATTTTCTCTCCGTGTGTGCAGTTTGAGTAACTAAAACAATTTAATATGAATGGCGGGAACGTTTGTAGAGTTTCGGTAAAATTGAGAGCGAACATTTAAATGCATTCGGATGCAAATTGCACAGAACTGCATTTGAATCGATTGGCGGTGACCCGGGTCACCATCGTGACCCGGGGGTGCCAAAACCTCCATAACTCCGAAACCAGAAGGCCTATGAAGACGGGAGATGGACTGAGCCCGATACGCACGCCAAACATGGAAATAAAAAACAAACGCAAAACACCCATAAAAAAAGGGGGGCTGCTGGGGATTTGTGCGTGGCAACGGCTGTTTATTGCTTGTTTTGAAAGTACATCAGGATGCTGGTCTGGTCATTCCCCAGCACGTTCTGCTTCTTACGGGGGCGGCCACCCTCCTTGTCTTTGGGAGCGAGACCACTTGGAGGCAATGGCGCACCAGGCGCTCTCTTGGTACGGCCGGCGGTCACGGTCGTGCTGGCGGGATCGACATCATTGTCATCATCGCTCCCAGCGTCGCCCTCCGGCAGGACAGAGTAGTACCAGCGATGCTCCCAGAAAAAAAAAAAAACCTTCAACTATGGCCGGTCCACCAATATTTTGCGGTGACCCGGGCTACCGCCAATCGATTCATTTGCTCAAAATGTTTTAATTTTAAATGGGACTAAAGGACTTAGCTTCTGGAAATTCCAAAATCGTAAAGACGGTTATGAGCAGCACAGTTCCGTGCTGTTTCCTGGATGTATTTGTATACAGATTTTTTGCTTTTGCTAATCTGTGGTTGTTTTTACGTAACATCAAAGTGCTTCCCAAGCAAAACAAAGTGCCGGAATTTTTCTTCGATCCGAGCTTTTCAGCTGCCAAGACCAGGAGTTTCAGCGGCTGATAAATGATGCATAAGGGGGGCCCAGATGCCAGAAGCTTTACGCTGCTCGCGATACGAGCTGCGAACAAATTAGCTCCGACAAAACCCAATTACCTTCGCAGTAAAACACACACTTCTGTAAAAGTGATTTGCTACAAGTACAAGTGGTGCTCATGTCTTGTTTACAGACTCTGGAACAGTGCTGGAAATTCCACGTTCCTATGACAAGGTTGCGGGGGGGGGGGGTTCACATCTCTTGATTGGAAAACCGCTAGACTTCCCCATGATTATGGTACCCATCTTTATCGACCACCAAAGGAATGGTGGACTGAATCAACCCCCCCACGACCAGGATTTGAACTCGGAACCTTTCACGCTAGAGCAGAGCAGATGATGATGGATGTAATCTCCAGCGAAATGTCGAGTATAACATCGTCAACATTTGGCTCACTTTTCAACAATTCCTCCTTGGCTTTTTTGCTGAAGAACCATTTAACCAAATGGCACATTTGCCCATGGTGTGGACAACCTGATTTGATTTGTTCTGTCGGGTGATGGAAGGTTGGAGTTAAAATTTGGCATTGTATCTGCGCGATGACATTGACCCAAAATAAACAAATGACTAATCGCAGCCTTCTGATTTGCGAGCCAATCGCTCCACCGCCGAGCCGCCCGGGCGGTCCTTACGTTTGATACTGCGACGCCCGGAAATCACATTCGAGATTTACACTGCCTCGGCTGTGTGTGTACGCGTGCGTGTGTGCGCTTGTGTGCGTGTGCATGCGTGTGCACGTGGTAGTGTAGCGGTTAATGCGCTGCGCTTTGAACCCGGCAACCCGAGTTCGATTCCCGCTCACGGCCAACACCAGTGACGATTACTTGAACCGTTCCTGGGCGTCCCCTAGGTCTACTCTGCCTCAAATGAGTACCTGGTGTGGTGTATAGTAAATCTTGCCATGAGGGAGACAAGGGCGGCCGAACGTGATTCTGACCACCCACCCCTTCGTGTACCGTGCCGGCCTTCAAAGGTGCTCACTAACAGCACTTGCCCCGACAGTCTGTTAAGGCTATAGGGCAATATTTGTCTTTGTGTCTTCACACACACGCGTGCTGCGCTACGAACCCGGCCACCCGAGTTCGATTCCCACTCAAGGCGAACACCAGGGACGATTATTGAACCAGTCATGGACCTCCCCTAGGTCGACTCAGTTTCAAATGAGTACCTGGTGCGGTGTGTAAACATCGACACTGGGGAGACAAAGACGGCCGGGCGTGGTGCTGGCCACCCACCCCTTTGTGTGCCCTTCCGGCCTTCATAGGTGCAACTCGCTAACAGGCACTTGCCCCAACAGTCTGCTCAGGGCTACACGGGGGATCTGTGTCTTCGCCTTCATTTAAAACTCAGGGGCTCCACTTAACAAACAGAGGCGTGCGGCAAGAGAGGCAGGACAGCAGGGCCCGTGATTGTGCGACATCCCCGCGGCTCCATTTGTCCGACTTCTCGTTAATAGCGCTAATGAGCATTATCTCCCATTTTGCGCTTCCCATTTCGCACGTTTCCGGAGCGCGTAGCGAGCACGCCGCCTCTGTTACATACAACCCGTGGGAAATAAAACCCAACAAGAAGGCAGTGGGGGCCACGGGGGTGGGGGGTGGGGGGTGCACTCGGTATAAATGTTCCTCCTCCGCTGCAATGCGAAGAGAAACACGAACTATCGTTGGGTTTAACACGTTGTCCTTACCTCGCAGATTTTTTCCAGTGACGGGACAAAGAAGTCGTCGCAAACGATAGCCAAGGCGTAGAACATGTACATGGTCTGCAACAAACACCAGAGCAGGTCAAGGCAGGGGAGGGGACATGCTGTGAAATATTGAATGGCGACGCTCTCATACAATCAACTAAGGTACATGCTTTAAAATAGGGTTTTACCCTTTCTGGCAATAAAACAGCTGTGTTAAGGATGTTAAAACGCCAAAACTGAAACTATTTTTGCAAGGAATCATGTATTGCATTAACCACATATACTTGTGGTGAACATGCAATAAAAAAAAAACATGCTCTGAAACTATATGCATTGTCTTTGAAACTGATTGGTCCACACCAGATACTTCTTTAGTGCCTAGTCTCACTAACAGTGTTAGACCCAGATGACGCCAAAAGGCGAACAGCACAAAGACAATGCCACTATCAGGACATTGAGAGCTCGGGGTGAGCAGCTACATCATGGGACCTCCCTTGCCAGTATCAAAAGATAATAATAGGTTTCACCCTTTCTGGCAATTTTTTGAAAGGGTAAAACCTATTCTTACATTTTGATACTGGCAAGGGAGGTCCCATAACGTAAATGTTCTGCACAGTAAAGCCTCTCCTATTAGCCAGATTTTCGAGTAAGCCAGAATTTGGGGTAGGCCAGAATTTTTCGTAGTCCTGAAAGGCTACCGGAAAATAGGTAAATAAAGATACAAAATGTATCCAAGAACACTCAGACTAGAAAACTGTTTTGCATGCTGATTAAACTGCGAGTGGCAAACAGCTCTATGCTAATGGTGAGAAGGAAATTCGAGATATGCTTGTCAACTCCAGTAAGTGAAAATAAATACAAGAGCCACAGCGTGTGCGCGCACTAGAAATTCTAACGGCACACGCTTATCTGTTGTATGGGATTTGGTGAACCTGTGCCCTCGGATGCCTCGGTCATCTGCACGCTTGGGCGATGCTCTTTACTTTTGAAAAACATTCGGTGATGCTGCTCCGTCAGCAGTGGTGCTTCAAGCGTAATTAACGAAAAACAAACTTGACACACTTAACGGTACTTGCCTCAAATTTCGCATTTTTTTCTTAATTTCTATTCACAAAATATATTCTTCCAGGCTGTCAGAAAATCTGCTCAACCATCAGCATCCATTGAATTAGTATAGATATTTATTAAATAATTGAGGCTGCCCCTGGGACTCGTGGTGTTGGTGCTGCTTGTGTTATTGTTGTTGATGGCCATGGTAGTGTTGGAGCTAATGTTGTTGCTAGTGGTGGTGGTGGTCATGGTGGTGGTTGAGCTATTATTGTTGCTGCTATTGCTAGTGTTGATGGTGCAGTTGTTATCGGTCGTGTTGGCAAGGCTATACACGGGGGGGGGGGGGGGGGGGGGGGGGGGGGGATCTTCGTCTTTGGAGCTGCTATTGCTGCTGTTGTTGGTGGCGGCATTGTTCTCCGTGGCCGTGGTGTTGGTGGATCAATTGTTGTTGTTGGTGATGCGGTGGTGGGGGTGGGGGTGGTGGAGGTGGTGGTGGTGGTGGTGGTGGGGGTGGTGGTGGGGATGGTGGTGGTGGTGGGGGTGGTGGGGATGGTGGTGGTGGTGGTGGTGGGGGTGGTGGAGGTGGTGGTGGTGGTGGGGGTGGTGGGGATGGTGGTGGTGGTGGGGATGGTGGTGGTGGTGGGGGTGGTGGGGATGGTGGGGATGGTGGGGGTGGTGGGGATGGTGGTGGTGGTGGGGGTGGTGGAGGTGGTGGTGGTGGTGGTGGGGGTGGTGGGGATGGTGGTGGGGGTGAGGGTGGGGGTGAGGGTGGTGGTTACTCACACACAGCACGTGCAGTAACACGGCGCCGTGCCGGCGCTGCACGTTGTTGAAGATGTCTTCTGGGAACTCGTGGATTCCTGCGCAAGGAGAGAGAGAGAGAGAAAAACATTTAGACAAAGGTTGGGGTAAAATTGCAATAAATCTACGTCGTTTTTCGGCTGGGGCGGAGCTCGTCGAGAGAAACAAACCAATTAAGGGACGTTTGTTGGCAGAGGGTTACAAGCACAAATAAAATAACGTATTCTTTGGTTCTTTCGGTATTATTAATTTTTTTGTTTTTGTCACTTTCTTTTTTTATTATTTCTTTTTTCTTTCTATCTATGTGATTTTACCGAAAGAATCAAGGAATATGAATTCCTGCTATCACGCAAAGGTTTAAGTCAAAATAAAATTACGACACCACCACCACCAACTGACTGGCTGGCCGTCGTCAATAACATTTGGTTTATGACCCAAAGAAAACAGAGCAGGCCACGGTGAAGGGCAATTAGGTCCCTCGTCGAGGTATCATTATCATCACGATCCAGAGAGCCCGTAGCGGATTTTCACTGCAACATTTTGTCATTTGTTTCCACTTTCGTCCGTGTTTTGCCAATACGCTCAAGGAGTGGCCACATCTGTCTTATGATGTCGTCATCTCTTATGATGTCATCTCTTATGATGTCGTCATCTCTTACGATGTCGTCATCTCTTACGATGTCGTCATCTCTTATGATGTCGTCATCGTGAAGCCATTCTCTGGTAGGTCTTCCTCTCTTTCCGGTTTCTTACACCTTTCCCAAACGACACTATTTTAAATGTCCTGCTGTTGTCCATCCTACACGTGTGTCCAAATAGTGCCCAGTTTCCTTCTCATCACTGCCTGCATCGTCAGCATCATCATCATCATCATCAGCTCGTCTTCTCTGTGCAACCTTTTTTCTCACTTCTACGTTGGCCACTCTTTGGGTCCGGCTTGTTAGATGCAGCTGTGTCCTTCTGTGGCGATACATGTCGACGAAGGCAAGGCGATGAATCATGCGTTGGGCGTCGGAGAACAGTAGGAGCGTCCTCACGGAGGATCCATCGATTCGTACCGATTTTTTATGCTCGACACACTGCAACGCGCGCCGACGAATATCTAAACGACGTAAATCGAAGCGATTCTTACAGGGTAGTAGGTGGTGGTGGTGGTGGTAGTGGAGGGCAAGCCTGAGAGTCGACGGATGACGACGACGACGATGATGATGATGCTGTTAGCGACGTCAGCGTGCGGGTTCGGGGCGACGCGAATCGGGTAGTGTTGTCAATAACAAAGGAGGGGCGACGTCTTTGCGATACGGCGTAACAGCGGAGGAAGGGGGGGGGGGGGGGTGTGATGAGACGTAAATCTGGGTAATGCCGTTTTTTTTTCAATTCCGCAGACGTGGCGTGTCAATGCTTTTACGCAACACTGTGGCCACTGGAGGCGATTCTAACAGCGACCCTTCCGAGACAAGAGGCTTTGAGTCTTGGAGAGGCTGTCCTGGGCAAATGAATGAAACTGAAGGTCATACTTTCGCCCCTGACTTGTGACAATGATATTCTTTGGGTCTTTCGGTAAAGTCACGTAGGCATGTGTTGCGATCGAAACGTAGTTTTTGGTTATTTTTCTATTTTCTTTGAACATATTTACGTGATTTTACCGAAATACCCAAAGATTATTAATTCTTGCAGTCACGAAAGCTTTAAGTCAAGATTTGTGACAATAAATTAAGATTTAAGAAAATACGAGGTGGGCAGTGGGGGGGGATGGGGGGGGTCATTACGTTTTTTTATTATTTGTACATAATTCAGCGCCGGATATTTGCAGGTCTTGCCGAAAGTTCGCAACGCGCTGTAATCTCACGCCCGTGGGCTGGATATGGGTCTCACCGAGCAGTCCCAAACCGAGCAACCCCAAACCGAGCTCCCTTTCCACAAGACAACGGTGCATATGGCACGGATCCGAGATCTTTACGGGTCCTGACTTTTGTCAAACCCTTCTGCAAGACCTTCTCTCTGAATGTAAACCAAAATAACATTTTAGTCCATTAGCCGGTTGCGCGCGTTTTTTCTGAGCCATAGCAGGGGTTAGTAATATCGCCGGGAGGGTGAGGGAGGCGAGACATAGCGGGTTTGGTCTTGTGGCGAAAAGAGACCAAGAAGGTCCAATTAGAAGGGCCATGGAGATTCGAGAGCCATAGACTCACACAGAGACCCTGAGACTCACAAGAGGACCACAGACTTGTTGCTGCTGTGCTCACGCACACCACGGATGCCCCTCGTAGAATATCCAAGCAGCCGGCTAAACGGGACCATCATCCGTGCGACAAATCAAAATACACTCAAAACACAAGAGACCCGTAGACTCGCACAGAGATCCATAGATGAGTAGGGCTGCCGGGATGCGACCGGTGCAGGTCAGAAGTAGAGGGGGAGACCAAAGGGTGAGAGGGGAGGATGCGGTGGAACGAGAAACGAGGAACAATGAATGGGACGAGAGAAGATGGACAGAATAGAAAACTAAACTCTTAAGCTACTCATATTCTTGGTTCTTTCGGTAAAGTCACGTAGAAGGGAAACAATAAAATAATAAAAATGTAAAACAATATATTTTTATTATTTTATTGTTTCCCTTCTACGTGGTGACTTTACCGAAAGCACCAAGAATATGAATCCCTGCAGTCACGAAAGCTTTAAATCAAAATCTTAAGCTATTGCTTATTTGAGCAGGTAAGGCCCACTGAGCTATAGAGCTCTATATATTTTTTAGAAAGGACCTGGCCACAAATGATAGCTCAACGAAGTGACTTATTTCGTTAAAATGTATACCAGCCAAATACTATAAACGCACGTTAATTTTAAACACATTTTCTAAATGTGGAGGGAAAAACCGGAGGACCCAGAGAAAAATTCAAGTGACTACGGGGAGAGAAATACATGCAAACTCAAAATACACAGCAGGCGTCAGGGTCGGGATCGAACGCACGACATCCTGTATGCCAGGCGAGGTAGTTAACATCTCCTAGCCACCGCGATGATGATGAGGAGACACACAAACTCCAAATATACAACAGCAGGCATCAGGGTCGAGATCGAACGTACGACATCCTGCATGCCAGGCGAGGTAGTTAACATCTCCTAGCCACCGTGATGATGATGAGGAGACACACAAACTCCAAATATACAACAGCAGGCATCAGGGTCGAGATCGAACGTACGACATCCTGCATGCCAGGCGAGGTAGTTAACATCTCCTAGCCACCGTGATGATGATGATGATGAGACACACAAACTCCAAATATACAGCAGCAGGCATCAGGGTCGAGATCGAACCCTCGACATCCTGTATGCCAGGCGAGGTAGTTAACATCTCCTAGCCACCGTGATGATGATGATGATGAGACACACAAACTCCAAATATACAGTAGCAGGCATCAGGGTTGAGATCGCACCCTCGACATCCTGTATGCCAGGCGAGGTAGTTAACATCTCCTAGCCACCGTGATGATGATGAGACACACAAACTCCAAATATACAGCAGCAGGCATCAGGGTCGAGATCGAACCCTCGACATCCTGTATTCCAGGCGAGGTAGTTAATATCTTCTAGCCACCGATGCTCATGGAGAATCAAATCCAAGCAGCCGACCCCGATGCAATAAACAAGACTTCTGGCTGAGAAGAAGCCAATATTTCCCCCCCCCCCCCGTCTCAACAGCAGAGTGCGGCCTGCTAAACAATTTGCTGCATCGTTGATTGTCGGATGTTATTGGCAAACGAACTCCACGCACATCACAGGTCCCGTGGTGTTGCTTGGCACAACAGATGTCGCGTTTGCAGCCAAAAAATGAAACTGACGTGAACACGCCGACGCTTTTTTAACGTCAAGTGGCAATGTGAGCAAGGAACTTTGTCACATGCAAATCATATAAAATTAATACGCATTTTTTTTTTACAATTTAACGTATTATTTAAGGGTTTCGCGCAAGACAAGCAACACGACTAAGCTCTACACATTTAGTTCATTAACAAATGCGACCTCATCTTGACAAGACAACTGTCAACTCCCAAAAACGTCCACATCAGCCGAATATATTCAATCGGCAAAATTTGTGGTCATGACTGACAGATAAACTGTTGGCTTGTGTTTTCTGCTTCATCGTTGATTAAATGAAGTGGAGAAATAAGCAAAGTGAAAAAAATTTACGCATTGTGAAAGGCAATTACGAATATTTAAAAAACATGGTAATGGGGTGCGGCTCAAGAAATGGTGTTGTCGTTACAGGTCTGTTGAACCTCTATCGCACTGTACATAGTCAACCGTGCTAATCGGAGGTGCGGGGGGGAAGGACAACAAAAACTAAACACAAAAAGCAGTTCTCAAGTAATGAGTTTTCAATGCAGATTTAAAAGTGCACGGCTCCAGTGGCTTTTCAATATCGGAAGCAAGAGCGTTCCAGACTGCCGCGAAAGCGCTTCTGTAAGCGCCGCGCGTGGACGCGGTGAACCATCTTCGTCCGGTGGCCAGCCGACGGAATTCGCCGTTCAAATCTCGATCATCCTTTGAGCGCCATCTCCTCCAAGTCGTGGAGGGGGGGGGGGATACGAGCTCGTTCAGAACTCTTGGGCCCCCACGGGGCCTCGCTGTTCCTGCTGCTTGTCAAGACCACTGCGGGTGGGGGGGGGGGACGAGCAACTGACCTCCCTCCAGGCGACTTGGGGGTGTTTTTTTCCCCTCCACTGTAATTCAAGTTCACGAGGAGCCGGCGATAATTGGGGTCAGCGGCTAAGGGAGAAGTGTTGCCCCGGCACTCGAGCAGTGGATGTGACTTTTCGCAGAAACGCAATTGATGTATCGTCACCGCAACTCGTAGATCATAGGGGATTTAGGACCAGTGCAACTAATTGGGGCAGAAGGGGGTGGGGAATATGGGAATTCGACACCATTCCATTGGAGCAGCAGCAACGGCAGCGGAACAAAAAAATGAAAAACAATCAGATTTAGAGAGTTTTTTCGTCTTCATTGACGAAGGACAAAACGCACGCGTCCGCCCTTTTGTTGTTGTTTGCTAATT